ATTCTCTTGATCATATTTGATGAAATTGGATAAAGTGACTTACTATAAATATTGCCTAACAAGAAGAATCATTTTTCATTGCTTTGGTTGTGACTGTTTCATATTGCAGATTGTTCAGGAAAAATCATTTCCCTTGATTTGGAAGTTCAGGTCCACTCCTCTTGGACATATGATCACTCATAGCTCATTAGATTTTTTATATTTTCCAAACATTTCAAATATGTTAGATTTTATTAAGCGACACTTTACGTGGTACTCGACTCTTTTACCCTATACCTTCATTGTATTTTCCAGTTAAGCTGTGCAAATATGGATTTGTGGCTTTGTGCTTAATTAATCAAAATGTAAAATTCTACTAAAAAGTTATTTTTGTACTCCTTTATAGGCATGCACCCAACCGGGCTGAACCGCTACTATGCGGGCCTGGACCGGACCGGGCCCGGATGGCCGGTTCCGGGCTTTAGCCTGGTTTGGGCGGTTCTGGCGGGCCGGTTTCGGGCCATGATTTTCATGAACCAGCCTGGGTGGTTTGGGCCGGGCCCTAATGTTGTGAAGTCGCCCAATGAACTCATGGTGACAGAGTAAAGCCCTCAGTAGGGGTGGACCGGTTCCGGTTCAGGCCTGGGCCCGGCCGGGCCTCGGTTCAAGAAGGGGAGGCCCGGAACCGGCCTGGGTAACCCCCGGGTCCGGGCCGGGCCGGGCCTCGGTTCTATTTTTTTTTTTTGGCTTTTCCTAGTTAACCCCCAACCCTCCCCCACACCCCCAAACCAACCCTAACTACCTCAAATGGCCCAAAATGCCCAGCCCAACCCCAAAACTTAAAAAAAAAAAAAAAAAAAAAAAAAACTGGCCCGGCCCGGGCCCGAACCGGCCGGGCCGGTTCACCTTTTGAAGGGCCCGAGCCCGAACCGCTATCCCACCGGGCCGGTTGGCCCGAACCGGGCCCAGAACCGGTTCACCGGTCCGGGCCGGACCCGCACAGTAGCGGGCCGGTCCGGTTCCGGGCCGGTTGGCCCGGCCTGAGTCCACCCCTAGCCCTCAGGCCCTCTGTAACAATTAAAAACAAATAAGGTGCTAGAGGGTCTCCCTGACGTAATCCTCTTTCAGAAGGAAGGAGATCAATCTCAGAATTATCAAACGGAATAGAGTAAGAGACAAGTAACACATTCCATAATCAAACGAATCCATTTCTCATTAAACCCTAATTGCTGCACCATTCCTTCGAGAAAAGGCCATTCAACCCTATCATAGGCCTTACTCATATCAAGTTTCAGAGCAGTAAAACCCACCTGACCCTGTCTCTTTTTCTTCAAAAGATGTTGAGACTTAAAAGCAAGCATAATATTATCAACAATAAATCTACCAGGAATGAATGCGCTTTGTTGTTCAGAAATACAAAGGTACAACCAACGCTACAACCTGGTAGCCAAAACTTTAGAGAAAATTTTATAAATCACGTTGCAGAGAGCAATGGATCTCCGATCACCCATACCTTCAGGTTTATCTTTCTTGGGGATTAAAATGAGGTTAGTGTGATTAATTTTACTAGGGAGCTTACCCGATTCAAACACCTCTCTGCAAAAAGTGACAACATCAGGACCCACCACATCCCAATAATGCTGGTAGAAACCCGGGCTGAAACCGTCTGGTCCCGGAGATTTATCAGGGAACATATCAAAAAGGGCCTCCTTGACTTCCGCACCGCAAATAGGCCGAAGAAGATCCTGGTTGTGATAATCCTCTAATCTGCGAGGAACAAATTCGAAAACAAAATCACCCCTTCCTGTCCCGGCCGAAAAAAGCTGATTGAAGTGGTCTCCAATTAAATCTCTAATCGCTGCCCTGTGAACTTCCCACCGACCGTCATCTGTCCGGAACCCTTCAATTCAGTTTTTGCGACGCCTTTTCTTGACCGAGTTATGAAAATATTTGGTATTAACTATTAAGGTCCCCACCTTGTAGCCAAAACTCCTTGGCTCGCTGTCTCCAAAAAATGTTTTCTTTTTCCAACAGCTCCATATACTCTTGTTTGACTCTGAAATTCCCCAACACTCCAGTGATTTGTGCATCTGCGTAGGTAATCCAACCGCTTTTTGCAGAAATTAATACGTCTGCCATAGGAACTGACTTGTCTATACCCCCAATCACTGACTGCCTTTCCAAAAGCCTGGACCTGCCCCATAATACCGAGATCACGTCCAATCCCCCAGCTGCGCGCCACAATCTCCCGACAGTCCGCTTCACGTAGCCAAACATTTTCAAATTTAAATTTACGTCTTCGGACCACACTTTGTGAGGGGATTAGTTTTATGAAAAGAGCTAAATGATCACTCGGGGATCCCTCCAGAGATTCAACCACATACAGCCTCTCCAAACAAATCTAGCCAATTTTGTGTAACCAGAATCCTATCCAACTTCTCTTCAACCCAATTAGGCGAGCCTCTCCACCGCTCCCAAGTAAACTGATAGCCATGAAAATAAAAATTCTGGAGGCCGCATTCCCACACTGTCTCACGAAACCACCGCAATAGCCAAGCCGGATGTGGGACCCTTCCAAGTTTCTCCAAAGCAACCATGATATCGTTATAATCTCCCATCATCAGCCAAGGAAGATCAGACCCCATACTCAAAGATTTTAGAATCTCCCATGATTCCCTTCTTCTATGCCGCTCCGGGGTCCCATAATAACCCGTGAAACGCCATTCTGGAGCTCCTTCCTCCAACCTGATTTTGGCATCAATAAAGTTGTTGGTAAATCCCAGTAGCTGAACACACTACCTCCGTCCCAAAAAGATTCATACATTTTGACTTTTCTTGATCAATGGTGGTAAAGTTTAGACAATGATTTTAGGTATTATATTTGTTTGTAATTTATAAATTTTACACTTTTATGTAAGATTTTTTAATATAGAATATGTTCATATAATTTTCATATTTTAAGAAATTTTGTATTAAATGATATCATTGGTCAAACTTAACCATCATTGACCAAGAAAAGTCAAAATGTATCAATCTTTTTGGGATGGAGAGAATATATATATATATATATATATATATATATATATTTGTATTTGTACATGTGTTTATATATCTATCTATATATATGTGTATATGTGTGTGTATATATTAATTATTTTATAAATAATCTCACAAATATATACTACCTCCGTCCCATTAGAAGCATCCTGTTCACTATTCATATGGTCAAGTTAAATCATTTTTAATATTTTGCTTTATATATTAAATTTGTATCACATTTACTTTGTTTTATCAGGCTTTGTAGCGGTTTTAATATAATTTTCTGAATATGTAAATTTTATTTACTAAAAATAATCGGAGTGTGAACATGGATTAAGTTGCTTTATCGTTTGTCAAGCATCGTAAACCTTTACGGGAACCTTCTAGCGGGACGGAGGGAGTATATATTTTCATATATAGTCCAACGAATATGTGTATTGATGTATTCAAATTTAATCGCACAAAAATAAAATCATTCCCGAAAATGAAAAGATGCAAACTTTAGTCCACAAGCAAAATTTTATCAAACTTATGCCCATGTTTATATAGTTAACTCCATGTTCATGCTGTGCATTACTGCATAAAATTCAAGTCTACGATAGAAAAAAATATGTTCTCAAGTGGGAATGATGCGTCAGAATCTTAAGTATACAATGTGGTAATCTGGTAATCTTAGACTGTAGCCCAACTTCTTTCAGGATTTTCATCGAACACTATTTAGGCATGCTAATCAACTCAATATATAAAAAAACAGGGCGAGCAAAAAGATGTCTCTAACTATTTTCTTCTCTCCTTTGGGTCATTTACCGTGCTTGCCTTCTCGTCGTGAACTACTTGTGTGTTTTAATATAAGTTTTTTCACGGAGGATTCAACTTCACGCCTTCATACCTTCCAACTTCAGTGTTAGGCGCATACATAGAATGTGTTTACCTCAAATACTGGCAGAGGAAACCAAAAACGAAATTCAAGGGAGAAGGAGAAGAGTTTACCTTTTTTTTAATTTTTATGGTGAAGATGATGTTAGTTACTTTTGCCCGGATAAATAGGCTTGAAAATATAGTGAGATGCTTGAAGAAGAAGACAAATGAAATCTCGGGAATTAGAGTGGACAATGAATACATGAGAGATATACTATCCTCACGTATATCGCATTAATTGCAACATTGGAATATATGCAATATTATATACTTTACTTTAACTACATTTTATTTATTAATGTATGTGAATTATTTTTTTTGAAAAATATTGTTAAATTCGTCTCATTACTATGTTTTATAATCTGATTTTTATTTTATTTTTACTAATACAGAATTAAATATAATGACGGTAAAAGTTGTGCGTTAGCAAACGTGAAATGTTGATTGTTGCAACTAAAAAGAGATGAGGAAGTATATAGGAGAAAAGAAAGATGGGAGTCCAGAGGACACTTTGGGAATGAAAGAGAGAGCCCGTTTGGTAGCACGAAAATCGTCTGTTTTGGCTGATTCTGCTGAAATTTATGAAGTTCTGGCTGAAGTGGCTGCATTGGCTGATTCTGCTGATCCAAGAAAAAAATATTTTTAAAATATATTATATTAATAAAATAAAGAAAAAATTATATGTAAAAATAGCTAAAATGATCATCTATAGTAACTTCAGCCAATACAGCCAGAAAAGTAACTCCAACCTTACTTTTTCGGCTTATTACACAATTCAGCGCGCAAAAGCAAAATTTACGTGTTTGGTAAAAAAGTTGGCTGATAAGTCTGATAAGCCGAAAATGAGGGTTGCCAAACGGCCTCAGAATTGTATTACCGGCTGAACTGAAACGTTTGGGTAGATAGCGTTGCTCTTCAGCTGGATTATTTCAGATTCAGTTCATTTAAGGTCTTTTGCCAAACAAGACGACACTCAAAATACTTGGCTGGATTTAAGAAATTTCAGCCCATTTGCCTTATGAATATTGCCTACAGTTACTAAAGAGCCGCTCTAAAAAATCTGTTGATACACGACACATGGGCCGTCCAGAAGCCCAACATTTAAAAGGAGATTGAAATCAGCGGATAATCGCTCTTCTCGGGATCCTAAGTTCTTTCGCACTCACAAAGACGAGGGACAAGGCCACGAGCTGCACCGGAGCGCGATTTGTGCGACCGACCCACCACACTACCGCCCGAAGCTGCCTTCTTCCGCCCAATCCGAGGATTTCTGCACCAGGTAAAACCCCGCGAAGCTTTAAGCTTTATCCTTTCTTTATCTCATATAATCGTAAAAATGTATTTGCTGGCTAAAATTACTTAATCTATAGGAAATTATTTTCTAAATCAGATTAATAATCCGAGGAAGAAAAGTTAAAGGAAATAGTTAATGTCATATAGGCATATACCAAGTGACCATCGACGGTCATATTAAAAAAGTCAAACTTGGTCCATTTGATGCCAGAATTCGCTAGAGGATTAGAGGCTGTTACTCATTGCAGCAATATATTTAATTACTTAGTGAATAAAAGTGTGTTAGTTAATTAATTCGTTGATGTTTTTTAAGGAAATTAAAAAAGTGAAGTCAGGGGAGTAATTGAAATCGAATAATAGAGTCATCATCATCATTTACCCCAGTGCCTCAAAGGCTCCCACTTACGATGGGGTAAGGGGGTCAGATGTACGCAGTCTTACCCCTGTCCTAAAGCACAAAGAGATTGTTTCCGGATGACCCATAGTGAAAATCGCGTCCAAAATTGCATGGACGGACTGCTGCTTCATAACAAAGAAGCGCATACAGTTTAGTGAGCCATTTTGCTTTATTCCATCATATTCTCAAGAAAAAAAATAGTGAATCTTTGGCTTCATTACAAATGATGGAAAAAATCGAATAATAGAGTAAGTGACTAAATTGATCATTAATCATTTAATTTGGTAGTGGGAGTGATTGAAAATGAATTGACCCGTGTGGTTAGAGATTTAGTGAGGAGTTATGAATCTGCCTTTCCAGGAAGCTAGGAAAGGTTGAGGCGTTGAGCAATGAATATCACGAAGGATACATTGAGAAATAGAATGAGGATGACTGCCTCCATGATAGGCTTCTTGTTAATATAGAAAAATATATCTTCTTGGAAATTGACAATGATATCATTATCAAGTGATTTTAGTCTATGAACATCTGAGAACAATTGTGATTTGTGATGTGTTTTCGGTATTCGACTCTGTTAAAAACTCCTTCATGTAAAAAATGTGCATTATTTATTTTTCGTAATCTACTTTTTACTGTAATTGAAGTTATTTTATACTTCGGTATATTATGTGTTTGGCCCCCACTGGATTAGAATGCTAGACCGGCCCCTGGCTTTGACGTCAGTGGTAAGTTGTGCATACCCAGATAAACTCATATTCTCTTTTGAACCAAGCTTTAGAGGATGGAAGTACTTTTCTGTAGATGCAAATTACTTGTAATAGCTAGCTTTTTGTTATATATATACATAAACTCCACTATTTGTCCTTGCTTTGCTGTGCTAAAATTTTCATACAGAATTGTTTTTCTTTGTATCATTTCCGGCTTCAAATTCTAACAACTGTGTACTATTGAGCAGTTGATCCTTATGGCATCATTTAGAGCATTCTTGAACAGTCCAGTTGGCCCTAAAACTACTCATTTCTGGGGTCCTATCGCGAACTGGGGATTTGTTGCCGCGGTTCGTTTCTCCATTAGTGATCTTAAGCAAGTCAAAAGTTGGGTTATGTCACTCTGCTTTGCTTGATTTCTGTTAACAGGCATTTCATTTCAGGGATTATTGGACACACAGAAGCCCCCTGAAATGATATCTGGAAACATGTCATCAGGTAAATCAAACCCCACCTGCCTTAAAGTAAGAGTGAGTGTAGCTCCTGATTTAGAGCCTAATGTTCCCCATTTTATTGTTGTTGCAGCAATGTGTATATATTCTGCATTGTTCATGAGGTTTGCATGGATGGTTCAGCCTCGCAACTATCTACTTTTGGCATGCCACGCCTCAAATGAGTGTGTCCAGCTGTATCAACTGTCTCGTTGGGCAAAAGGTCAGGGGTAAGTGATTGTGGATGTATATTCATCTCCTCCATCTATTTAGGCCAAGTCTGGATCCCGTAAAATGTTAGGGTAAGGAAAACAAATGCTCAGGAAAGTTAGTTTTCTATGTTTGTTTTACCTTGGGCAATGCTTCAAAAAATGAAACGATCACCTTATTAACTGTATTTAGTCGCTTCCATGTACTAGGATTTTAGCCTTTATATAATAGAAACAGAAAACATGATTTTGAATGGATAGCTAGATTAATTTTATTCAGTTTGAGCTCATCTGTGTTTTTTCTTTTTTCCAGATTTCTTCCCTTCCACCACTCTTCTCTACTTTCCTCCTCATTTTTTAAGTATTTTACAGAGTTTCAAATGGGTCCTTGCCCTTACCATAAGCCGTGCCTTTTGATGAAAATCTAATTTAGTCAAAGATGTTGAGATCATTGCAATTGTAGCCAAAGCCCAAAGGTTTTCCCAATTGAGTTGCATATGTAACCCACTTACTAATCTATAGCCAACATAGCAATTGGAAACCCGCCTCCTTGAAAGAGAGATGTCCTAAACCACTAGACGATGGGGGCCCACTTGTCCAACCAACCTCATACTTACTATTGCATGGGAGCATGTTCATCTTCGAAGTATTTTTTCCTTCCAATATTTTTCTATTGAACATTTTGTCAATCCAGACAATGAATCAATGATTTATGATATGCGATAGTATATTCTAAATAAAACATCTTTTGAGTATTTCAGATTACATTTTCTGGATGTACTTGCAAAGCAGGAAAGTAGGGAACACAAGTGCGAACCTTTTCATCTGTATTGATTTATTTGCAGTTTTTTGGTTTGGATGAGTTGTGATTGGTCATTTGCTTACAAGTCACTCCCTCTTATCTATCATATCTTTGGATTCTATGTACCCTGTCATTTATTCTATCCCTTTTGAAAGTCATCATCTGTTTTTGTGTTTGCTTTGCATCCCCTTATTATAGAAAAGGAAGACAGTAAATTCAAGAGTCTTGGGAGTTCTGTCTCTCGATAAAAGTAAACCCAAGATCTTCAAACATCTATAAACAGTGTCTGGTGCACAGAAGACTAATTGTCGTCGTGTACGTCCTTTCTTCTTTTTGTTGGGAAGAAGTCAAAAGCTTGGCATGTGTTCTAGAGAAACATGTTTGAGTTATGATACGGGTGGTGCCAATGAAATTAATTAGTAATGCATATGGGTCGATTTGAGAGTCCAACCAAATTACTAAGTTGAACCTATAGGCATATATGATGTATTGTCTAATATGTTTTGTGTTTTCTTTCTTGATGTGTAGGTACCTGCAGCAGAAGCAGGAGGATAAAGCCCAGTGACTTATGCTGCATTTCTTCTTTTTTACTCCGTATATCAGACCCCTTTATTCTCATCACGTTTTTGCGGCCTTCTCATTTCTACTACATGTGTCCACAGTAACTATTTGTATTTCTTAACATTCACTTTCAACACTGCAACATGAAGATCATAAAGTGAGCTGTATATCATGTTTACGTTTGGAGTATTGGTTTCCATATTGTTGTGAGCTCTTTTTAAGCTCAAACTATACACGCATTTTCTTCATTGCAGAAGGTGATGTATTGTTATCACTTATCAGTCCTGCATTTATTATGAGATTTAAGAAAGCTGTCATTTCACTCATTTGCCCAGACCTAGACCCCCCACCCCATGAACTGATGAACCCCCCATCATAGGTTGGCAGTTTGCTGTTTAGTCCCTCACTATACTCCCTAGTCCCTACTAGTCACAATGCCTAATTGCCTATGCCTAGGGATGGACTGGGCTGGTTTGGCATGACCCGGTACCCAGCCCGTTACTGTGCGGGACCGGCCCGGCCGACCGGGACAGGGACCGGGATTGGGGGCCCGAACCGGGGGTAGGGGAGGCGGGCTACGGGTTGAAGAAAATGCTGACCGGCCCGGATCCGGTCCCGGCCTAACGGCTACTTTTTTAAAAACAAATTGTTTAAAACTTTAAATGGCTTTGTAGCCATGTGTGGGTGGCCAAACGTCTCTATATCCGTTGAAGGCTGTCTGCAGTGGCGGAGCCAGAAATATATGTTTAAGTGGGTCGAGCTGTGAGAATTTTACATTTTCGGGGTCAAAGTTTAAAATATCAACATATTTTCTCTAGATTCAAAGTATTTATACATAATATATACTTAAGATTTTTTTTCTTGCAGGTATGGATAGGGGTGGATTCGGTTCGGGCCACCCGGCCCGTGACCCGGCCCGGCCTGGCCCGGTACTGTGCGGGCCCGGGACCGGCCCGGTCGGGCGGTCCGGGATCGGGTATGGACCCGACCCGGTGGGAATGGGCGGGGCGGGCTCGGTGCTGGATTAATGTGACCCGGCCCGGCCGGGTCGGGCCCGAGCCCGGGTCCGATCTTATTTTAATTTTTTTTTTTTGTTTGGGCTCTTGGGCTACTAGCCGTTGGGGGTGGGGGTGGGGACAACCCAAACGGCTATATAGCCGTTGGGTGGGGTAAAGGGGGGGTCCGGGGGGGTTGGCTGGTGGGGGGGTTGGGGGTAAAAAAACCTATAAATACTCCTAATCTTAAACATTTTTTCATATCTCTTCTCCAATTCTTCCTAAATCATATTCTTAACTCTCCACTCTCTAATTCTCTTATTCTCCAATATATTATATTTATTATTTATATATCTACTTTATAGTTTATACTTAAGAAGTTAAGATGGAAAATCAAGATGCCATTATACGGTATAATTTTGATAAGCAGAAGGACCCGAAGATCGGGATGTGGTACGCAATTTGCAAATGGTGCGAGAAAAAATGTAGCATGGGGGTTTCAGGCGGATTCGGGATGGCAATCAAGCATATGAAGTCATGTGACAAAGCCAAAGGATCGGGAGGTGCCGGAAGTTCCGATTGATTACAATTTTCAAAATGTTTATCTCTTAAAGTTTGTTTTAATTTTCAAATGTAGTTCCTATTTCATTTCAAATAAATGCAATTGAAGTTTGTTTTTAATACTCGTATAAAACTATAAACTATAAAATATAAATTATATATAAAAAAAATTAACCGGCCCGGCCCGAACCGGACCCAACCCGTGACCCGGGCGGGTGGCCCGGCCCGAACCGGACCCGTCCAACCCTCGGGCCGGTCCCGGGCCCATGTCATACAACCCGGCGGCCCGAGTCCATTAATAGGTATGGATGGACTCAGGCTGGGTGGCCCGACCCGGTACCGGCCCGGGACCGGTACTGTTCCGGCCCGGCTCTACCCGTGGGTTTTCCGGTCCGGGCTCGGGTCACCCAAAACAAGGCCCGACCCTGCCGGGCTCGGGCCCGGTTCGGGCCAAATTTGATTTTTTTTTCATTTTTTTTTAAATTTTTGGGTTGGGCTGGGTATTTTGGGCCATTTGGGGTGGTTTGGGGGGTTTGGGGTGGGAGGGGGGTTAAATAGGAAGAGGAAAAAAAATTGGTAATGGGCCTGGCCCGACCCGGCCCGGACCCAGTGGTTACCCGGGCCGGTCCCGGGTCCACCACTCCTGAACCGCCGGCTTGCCCGGGCCTAGGCTTGACCCGGACCCGGCCCGGACCCGAGTCCACCTCTACTTGCAGTGGCCAAGGCCCCCTCCAGGTTCCAGCCCTCCCTGTCTCCACCCTTGGCTGAATGGGGGTTGGGGGGTTAAAAAATCTATAAATACTCTTAATTTCTAAATACTACGTATTTTTCTACACCTATCCTCCAATTCTTTCTACTCTCTGTTCTTTAATACCATCTAATCATCTTCATCATATCCAATTCTCTCTACACCTATTAATATATATCATATCTATTTAAATTAGTTATACAATTATTATATTTACTTAATATCTACTTATTATATACTACCTCCGTCCCTCTAAGTTTGGGACAAAGGGATGTGATGTGGTTTTTAAGAAAAAGTAGAATTGCGTAGTTTGTATTGAATTGATAAAGTGTGAATAAAGTAAGAATAAATTCTAACCACTCAATTATTACCAAATATGGTATGAGACAAACTTAATGGGACAGACGAAAAAGGTAAAATGTGACAAAGTTAGGGGGACGAAGGGAGTACTTGTTATAAACTTATATTTACATATATATATTACATCTAATTAATATATTAAATATATATATATATATATATATATATATATATTAAAGTATTAAATATAAGTGTACTATTCATCATATAGTAGTATACTTATATACTATATACTATGAACATTATATTATAAATTAGTTACACTTCAATCAATATTATTAGTTAAATTTCCTATTACTTACACACTTACACTCCCATTAATTAGTATACATTCATACATTTTTCCTATTAGTTACATTTTTCATTAATATTACTACACTTGTTCGATTAAAATATAAAAGTACCTGGAATTTTAGTTAATTTAACTATTAAAGTAGTTTCATTTCTAGTTAGTTTTACTACACTTGTTAGATTGAAGTATTAAACTAGTTGCAATTTTAGTTAATTCATTACACTTATTAGATTAAAATATAAAAGTAGTTAGAAATTTTAGTTAATTAAACTATTAAAGTAGTTGGAATTTTAGTTAATTTTACTACATTTGTTAGATTGAATTATTAAAGTAGTTGGAGTTTTAGTTAATTAAACTATTAAAGTAGTTGGAATTTTAGTTAATTTTACTACACTTGTTAGATTGCATTATTAAACTAGTTGGAGTTTTAGTTAATTAAACTATTAAACTAGTTTGAATTTTAGTTAATTTTACTGCACTTGTTATATTGAATTACTAAAGTAGTTGCAATTTTAGTTAATTAAACTATTAAACTAGTTGGAATTTTAGTTGATTTTTCTACACTTGTTAGATTGAATTTTTTAGTTGTTGCAATTTTAGTTAATTAAACTATTAAAATAGTTGAAATTTTAGTTAATTTTACTACACTTAGTTATATTGAATTGTTAAAATTGTTGCAATTTTAGTTAATTAAACTATTAAACTAGTTGGAATTTTAGTTAATTTTACTACACTTGTTATATTGAATTATTAAACTAGTTGCAATTTTGGTTAATTAAACTATTAAACTAGTTGAAATTTTAGTTAATTTTACTACAATTGTTAGATTGAATTATTAAACTAGTTGCAAATTTTAATTAATTTACTACACTTTTTGGATTAAAGTATTTATTAAACTACTTGGAATTTCGCTTTAATTTTACTAGTCACATTTTAATGAAAAAAAGTCACATTTTTATATTATAATCACATTACTTACATTTTAATATAGAAGTCACATTTTAAGTATTCTTACAAATTACTTACATTTGTTATTAATTGCATTATTTTTGTACTCACATTAACATATTTGTTAGAATTTAATATTTGTTACATTTTAAGATGGAACGTGATTGACATTCTGTAGATATGGGTAACCTTCAACGCAACCAAAAGAAGGAGATTGGAAAGAACCATCCTCATTCGCAAGGCAGGACAATTTTGAGCTCGAGGATGAGGACGCAGAGGAGGAGGATCCGGTGACGGTCGAGGACGAACAAGACGCCTCTCAAATCCCGGACGATGACACCCACGACGAGGACGGGGCTGGTTCATTCCAACATGGTAAGAAAGGTCAATCTCTCCTTATGAAAAATAATTATAAAAAGTGGTCTGGAAGGACCCGACAACCGAGAAGTGGTACGCAACTTGCAAGCATGGTAAGAGAGATAGTAGCCTGGGGATTTCTGGAGGATACGGCGGCGACGATAGGCATATTAAGGCCTGTCACCCCATGGAGTATGCGAAATTAAAATGCAAGGAGAAGCAAACTCAAATATCGAGGTTTGCAACTGACCAACCCTAGGAGAATAAAAGACGGGTTAGCCGCGCTAGGAGGTGCTGTGGAGATAGTGAAAGGGGGAAATAGACTTATTTGGGCTAGTAATCCACTAAAAATACAATAGTACTTATAACTTAATTGTTGCAGTTATTAGATTTAAAGACCATTTTTCTGTTTTTTAAAAGATTATGTTAATTATATTAAAAATCTTACGTTCATCATTTTTGTTCTTACATATATGAAAGAAAAGTTTTTAAAATATTATTCACATATTCTGCATATATATGGTATTGCATTTATTCTTGATCCTCGTTTCAAACTCAATGCTTTTCAAATTTGTTTAGAGTACTATTATGCTTCTTTTTTGGTCCATTTCCTATGCATGAAGATAAGCCCATAGATCCTATTATCCTAAAGAGCAATAATACAACGAGGTTAGTAATTTATTTCATCAATTATATAATGAGTTTCATGCACAATATGGTAACACACCCCCTCCCCCGACACGAACATCTTCTTCATCTAAAGGAAAATCGTTTTTGAAATCTACATTTAGCAATCTTATGAAAAAAGTACAACAACTCCCATTGTTGCAAAAAGTTCGGTTAACGAACTTTCTTTATATCTAGTGTTTCCTGTTGACTATGAAGACAAGGATGACTTTGACGTTCTGCAGTGGTGGAAGGAAAACGAAAGAACGTTCCCGATTTTATCAAAGATGGCTAAGTAAGTGCT